CCCTCAAATACTGAGATAAATACAACTGATTTTCATATTCTTTTTAATACTGAACGATCACTTGTTTCGCTATACAGTAGTATTGTGATGCTACAGATGAATGCTAGTACACATTTTGATTATTTCAGTGATCAGAACTTAGTAAAAAAATCCATCATGAATGAATCAAAGCCTTTTTCTTATTTTTCAGAATGGTAAGTTAATATTCCTAGTGTCATAAATCAGCCCCACTCAAAACATATTTTCTACACCTTCTGTTTCCCGTTGAACATATTGTATAATGAGAATAGGAATTTATACACAGAGCATATGGAGAATCAATGATACACTCAAAGGAGGTTGGGTAAACTTTTTTCTGGATAGGGCAGGATGACACGTTGTATATGGACAAAAGTGGAGATAGGGCGAGTGAATGGACGGGGTGGCTGGTTCAAGTACAACTGTGTCTGTAGAAACAGGCAAACCAAATCTGTCCTCATCGCCCTGCACGGAAGTGCTGGTTTCCAGATGCCAAGTCATTTCATTCACTTAAATGAAATTCTCAGTAAATGTTACTCTTGCAGACAGTTGAGAGTTTATCTGTAAAGTAGTCTTGATACAACTGTATAGTCCCTGGTTTAATTAACAGTCAGACTTGTGTTATCAGTGGCTTTGTTTCATAGAACATGGAATGCAAGAATTAATCAAAATGTCAGGAAGAATGTTCTGCTCACCTTGCACAGTGGCTGAGGTGATGTTTCATCTCACTGAAAGATCCCAAGCCCCTTAAACAAATAGTCTGAAGGTTGGTAGTTAAAACTTCAGCTTAAGCACAGAAGCTTCTTGTTCCTTTATATCTGGTCTTCAGAACTAAACCAATATAGGACAGTTATTTTAAAAGCATTTTTTAAATGACGGTATAGCATAAAGGCAGTATCTGTGACCTTGTCTAGAATTAGTTTTGTTCCAGATAATTCATATACTAAAACTCAAAACATTCTTTCTGCTCATCATTTTACTTTTGCTCTGACTATGTTAATTACTGTTACACTCGGTCTCCCACCCTCTCTTTCTCTCTTTTTTAAAGTTTTTTAAAATTTATTTATTAAGATCAAAATATAATCATTTCTCCCTTTCTCTTTCTTCCTTCCAACCTCTCCCATGAACCTGCTGACCCTGCTCTGTTTCAAATACATCAAAATACATCATGGTCTTTTATCTTTAACTGTTGAGTTTCCACGTATATATTCCTAAATCCATAAATACAACCTGCACTGTGTGTTACTTGTCTGTATGTTTTGGGGAATGATCATTCAGTATTGTATAACCGACTAGTGTGTTCTTTCCTGGGGAGGAATATTGCTCCTGCTCTGCCTGTAGTTCTGTATCTGGGGTTGAGGCCTTGTGCGCTTTCCCCCTTCCATGTCCGTATGTCTATTGGCGTCATACTTGTTTATGCTGCCATAATAGTGGGACTTCATGAGTACAACTCCTCTGACGTTTGTTGTCACTTTTTATCACAATGAAGTTCCTGTACCTCTGTCTCTTACAGCCTTCCTGTCTCCTCTTCTACAATGACGCCTGAGCCTAAGGCGACAGAGTTGTGATATATCAGTTAGGACTGGGCTCCACAACTCTGTGTTTTGATCACTTGTGAGTTCTGTAGCTGTTTCCGCCTGTTGTAAGAAGTTTCCTTGATGAGGGGTGAAGACGACACTCATCTGTGGGTATAAGGACAAATATTTACAAGGAGTGAAGGACTGTGCTAGATTAACTAAGTGGCAGTTGTAAGTTCTCCTGCAAAATCTATAACTTCACTAGCCTCATGTGATATGCTAGATTTCAGTACGAGCTATGATTTCTATTTTTGAGTTGGAGTGTTGTTGGTTACCACAAAGTTATGTGTCCCATTACTGTACCCTCAAGATAACGTCCTATAATGGAGGCTGTAGTATCAGAGCCAAATAGGTCTGTTGGTTCCTTCTCTCCCTTGGAAGATTATATGTCTCTTTCTGGTATCAAAAACGTTAGTCCTCAGGGAGGAATCTTTCAGGTCAGATCCAGTTTAGGTCCTCTGGATCCTGTGTTCAATGTGGGTGGTGTCTTTAGCAATAGACACTTACCTTCTATTTCTAAATGGCAACCAAGGGTGACAGGAATAGCTTATAATGTTTTCGGGGTCTCTTAGATAACCCTAGCCAACATCTCAAAAGAGGCTTCTCATACCTGTTGATGGGGTTGTTGTCAGACAGTCAGTAACTTCATAGTGCTGCTCCCCTTCTTGGTGTTGTGTTAAGTTTCTATGAAGATATGAATAAAACACCTTCTGACCCCACATAGGGCACTGTGAAAGACCAAAGCATTAACTCAACAGTATTAATTAATGAAAGTTCATCTTCATGTTGATCTGCAGGGAATTTGCCCAATAATTAATTTTCCCATAAGTTAATGCTTCCACCCAAATCCAGCTGTCTAAACCAATGGATGTACTTGTCTTATTTATGGAACCATGGGTGAGTGGTTACCTAAGGTAGCATAAGTGACCTTAAAATGTCTCCATCATCAAAGTCTCTCGCTCTAGCATAGACGATATCCCCACAAATGCTGCATTGCTAGGATCCCTCACCCACCACCAGCCTTCAACTCTATATATCTAGAACCTCTCAATCCCTGTGCATCTGGGAAAGACAGAAGAGTGAAAGTGGCTGGGGTCTCAAGTGAGGGTCTGAAGAGCTTTCTCTTCCTCCTACAGGGGAAGCTTAATTGGTCCAATTTAATGAGGCTCTCAGGGGGTAATTACAGCTACTGTAATCTCAGATAGCAATAGCCCCATGCATTCCAATGAACAGGGTTCCAGGACAATCAGTGTTCATGAGGAAGAGCATTCTACAATTCTTCTTGCAGTATTGAATTCACAGTGAAGCTATCATCACTACCATGGCGATGATGTTTAAATTGCTCCCTGAGCCTTTAACAGGGGATCTGGTGCTGGATTCTCATGGTTTTTAACAAATAGGAGCTGCATATTTTGAAGCAGATGCAAATAGACTACATACGAGAACTGAGATGATCTTGGTTAAAATGAAGAACTGCCAGCCTGTTGTGAATATTGTTCCTTCTATTCACTCTTGGATAGAATGCAGAAGCTTGTGTCCCTTATATTAACGATGTGCTAAAGCCTGGTGGATCCATCAGTTCAGTTAGATCCCTCAAACTGGGTTCTCACCCTGGTAAAATGAAAAATGATTGTGACAGTTCTCTTTTTAAAAAATCCTATTTCCTGTTTCCTATTTCCTATTCAGTAACCATCTAGGAAAGGCTAAAGGCATGCAAGTGAGTTTTCTGGAGATGGCCCACTGTTTTGCATGGTCTGTGCTCTAAGAATGTAGGGTCCTTGGAGACTTTATCCCAGGATAGCTTCTTGCCTTTCCTGTCACAATTATATAGTCTAATGACTCCTGGGCATCAGCCAATACTATTGGCCATATTACCTACAGATCAACATGATGATAGGTTTTCATAAATTAATGCTGTTAGGTGAATTAATGACTTTATAGAAGTTCTAATTTGATTAAAATAACTTTAGAAAGGAAGTTTTAGGAGATGGTTTTAGTTGTTTTGCCAGAAAAATGTAATAAAGTTACAATCAAGAATAAAATGTGCCCCCCTCCTCATCGAGTAGTAAGTTAAGACAGCATTATAGGGAATACAGTGTGCTTTCACAATTACACTAAGAAAAGAGATAGGCTTGGGACAAACTTATAATCAAGGAAAAACATTAATTCTAGGTCAAGTCCAAGGATGAGCCACAGGTGTGCACTATGATAAAGCAAGGCCATGTGCAACTGTTGCTTTGAACTTATAATGAGCTTATAGAATGAAACACTGCTTTCAACTTACTATCAACATACTTTTGTAACTTCCTTTTTGTGTAACATTTTATCTATGAGGTAATTTTCTAAAAGGCTTTTGTTTAAAAAAATTATAAGAAGGCTAGAAAGAAGGAATAAAGTGTGGCCTGGGAACCTCTGCTCTATCCACCAATACGTTCTGTTTATGTCTGTTTTATTTATATGTTTGTACACTATCTTAGTCAGGGTTTCTATTCCTGCACAAAATATCATGACCAAGAAGCAAGTTGGGGAGGAAAGGGTGTATTCAGATTACACTTCCACATTGTTGTTTATCACCAAAGGAAGTCAGGACTGGAATTCAAGCAGGTCAGGAAGCAGGAGCTGATGCAGAGGCCATGGAGGGATGTTACTTACTGGCTTGCTTCCCCTGGCTTGATCAGTTTGCTTTCTTATAGAACTCAGGACTACCAGCCCAGGGATGGTACCACCCATAATGGGCCCTCCCACCCTTGATCACTAATTGAGAAAATGCCTTACAGCTGGATCTCATGGAGGCATTTCCTCAAGGGAGGCACCTTTCTCTGTGATAAACTTCAGCTTGTGTCAAGTTGACACACAAAACCAGCCAGTACACACACTTAAGACTTAAAAGTTTAGAGTTTCTGGCTGAGCATTCTTGCCAGCCCCAGATAAGTAAGTTTGTTCCATCAGTAGTTCTGATTCTATAAATGGCTTGTTATCCCTGTCACCAAGGCCATAAGCCCTTTTTGCTGCCTGCCTCTGTGAACCCTCTGATGTCAAATCTGGCCTTTGACAATTTCCAGAACATGTCCCTTAAAGGTTCAATACAGGTGTTTTAAAATTAAGGGCAGCCTCTAAGACTCATATGCTAATCTTTTTGGTTTTGGTGTGTGTGTGTGTCTGTGTGTCTGTGTGTCTGTGTGTCTACACACATATAGATGTCAGAGAAAACTGTGTCCTACTCATTGAACTCAACTCCGGTAATCAACCTCAGTAGCAAGCATCCTTATCTACTAAGCCGTGTCACTGGCCCAACCTATACTGTGCACTCCTTCCTGCCAGTGCTGCCATCTCCAATAAGAAAATCTGGTTGAGGTGAGGAAGAGTGGTATCCACTCATTGTCCCTTCTTGTGTGTCTCTTGCAGGAGTCCTTTGGAACCTCTCATCATGTGATGCACTCAAAATGCCAATCATCCAGGACGCCCTGGCAGTGCTGACCAATGCGGTGATTATCCCTCACTCGGGCTGGGAGAATTCACCTCTTCAGGACGATCGGAAAATACAGCTGCATTCATCACAGGTGCTGCGCAACGCCACCGGGTGCCTAAGGTCAGTCCCCTCCCTGCTCAGCCTGGCATGGGGACACTGCTTCCTGTGACTTTGATTGCTGTTTCCTGAGGATCACTGTTATGTAGAGATAGATGTTGTCATGGCACATAGAAAGAGGTAGAGGCATTCCCACAGCTCTAGATCTGCAGTGTTTAGCTGAGTTACACTGCTGTCTTAAGTCTAGGAGAAAACAGTTTCATTTCAACCAAAACCGAGTCACTCTCTTTCACTGAAAATAATGGTTTATAAGTAACCTGACATGACATTTTACTTGTAAAATAACCAGGCAATTGCTTGGGGAGAGTCTGTAACAAATGTATAGGGGTATAATTAAATACTACCAGGAACTGCTTTTATTCTAGGCCCCTCCACACATGCTTCTTTGTATGACTACAAGAGTCCATAACCTTCTTTGAAATAGCTCCCTAATAAGGCCTGTTTTACTTGGGGTTTTCAAGTGTATAATTTTTCCTAGTGCATTAAAAAAGAACATCACCCCGAAATCTATGGCGTCTCCTTAGAGTTGTCTTTACATCTTGATTGACTAAGCAGGATAAACATTCTTCTAAAGTCAACCTGTGTTTCTAGGGAAGGTTTGTATTAAAGTCGGAAACTTCTAGCAGGTGGGCTCATGATGGGGTAGGAATAATAAGATTTGTTGAATATGCCTAACCAAATATATTTTAAAACTAAAATGTTCAGAGTGGTTTTAGCTGTTCTGTCACTGACCAGCAGTTTCTCCTACAGTCGTTTGATTTCTAGATGTAGATCCAGTTTCTGTTAAGAAGGAGCAAAAACATCTCAGGAAAAATTAAATAGCCATCTTGTGAATATCCATACCAGTCCTCCCGGTGTTGGCACTGAGAAGACATCTTGTGTTAGTGTGCAGAGCGAGGCTCACAGCCAGCCTGTGAATATCTTCACATACTCAGAAACGGAACAGGAGTCCTCTGCCACCTTCACTTTTCCTCCATATGACATATAAACCTTTGGTGTGAGTTCTCTGGCTAGTCTCTACCGTGACCCAGATTTATACTTCTCTAGAGTACCCTGTTGTAGCATCCTTTTATGACTTCTTAAATTCTCTTATCCTTCAGAGGCCCCCCTCTACATGAGAGCTCTAACTCTTCTAGTACTGACACTGGAGAAACTCCTGACCTTCTGTGTCTGTCTCAGTTACCTGCATCTATTAAGAATAATTTTCCTCCTTTTTAACATCTCCTGCTTGCAAAGCCTGTTGGCATGCATAAAAAAAGCCTGGGGAAGGAGGAGCCTCAGATTCAGTTGGAGAGTAACCAGTAAAGACCTGACCAGCTCTGCAGAGGAAACACTGAATAATAGCTGCACCATTGCATCTTCATGACATTTGATTCACAGATGAGGACACAGATGCTGTGAGTGTGTGTTCTGCACCTTTAATGATAAAGGAGAAGGGCTAGTATATGTCACATGACCATTTCATAAGGCCTCTGGCTGCATTTAAGGTCTAGAATGTGAACCAGAGTAAGGTGAGATCAGACCAGGGTGAAATCCCATACTTCTCCGCACACAGAGCCTGCATCCCTTACTGCTGCTGCCTCTGTGCGAATGTGTACTCAACACAGGAAGAAAAGACTGGAGATTGTTAAGTTTAGGATGAATATGTTATAGCCAAGTCAGGCTTTCTAAAGCCATGATGCAACCAGAGTTAGAGATTTCCCACAATTCTGAGTGTGTTACATGATTACTAATGCAGAACCCAACAATGTATAACAAAACTTTATTTTTCATGTCATTAAACTTTTGTCCTTTACAAAGCAGTAAGCTAATGCCATTCTCATTCAGATGTGGTGATGTATCACGCCACACTGGTGGTCTCTTGGACTGGGAAAGGAATATGGTGGTCATGGAAAAAGGTAAAATAATTTATCAAAGACTCCATAGCCAAAAGGTTTCAAGAAATTGCCATGTTCATACGTCCACTGTCCACTGAGAGTGGGAACAGCACACACAACCAGTTGGGTGCGTTTATGCTTTACAGAGGTCGTGAGGTTTCCTGTGTGAGCTTGTTTACACTCCTGGTCTTCTTGGCAACTGCTAACTCTTCATTCACATTAAAGAACTCACTTCCTGTGTTGCTTCTGCCTTTTAGCACTTTGATCCCATGAGCCTTTGCTAAGTGAGTGATAGCAGCATGCCAGAGAGAGACCTGGGACACAGAGATTCCCTCCACAGCTCGTACCATGAAGTCATTCTCAACCCAGAAGAAGGGGGTGACACATACCCAGTTGACTCTACCGCCATGTGAATGTGATGGTAGTACAGGAGGAAGCTGCTGTACCATTTTGTATTAGGACTTGAGTGCATATGTATTTTTGGAATCCAGACAGAGTCCTGGATACAGATCTCCATAGATGGGAAACTGAGTCTTGCTTTCTTTGTTAGCACTGAGGTCAGACCCAGGGCCTTACACGTGCTATGCAGGTAGAGTACCACTAAGCTGCATCGATAACCCTGTGCAGTTTATTCTCCTTCTTATAAGCTCACGAAATTCCTATTTAGTTAAGTCATGGAGTCACACCTGATTTTGACCTACACCCTGAGTTTCTGCAGACGATTTGCATTTGGCCACACCAAGAGGATGCATAGGTTCCTATGGCAGCAGAGCTCTCTAGAGATATGCGAAAGCCAGCCAATGGATGAATAGGTCACAGAGTCCTGTGTGCTGGTTCATTTAATTTCTTTCCCTTTTGCTTTTGGAGTTTTTGAGGCAGCATCTCAGTCTGTCATCCAGGTTAGCCTCATACTAGCTTGTAAAGACCTTGACTCTGCCTCCAGAGTACCTCAAAATCATGCCCTATCATGCACAACGTGAATCTCTTTCTCTTATTAAATGGCACTCACCTGGCCAGTATCCCTTTCTGTGCTTACATGTCAGGTGTTTGTTCCCCTCCTCTTTGCTTGCTCTCCACTCTCAGTCCTGAGGTCTTTGCTGTGGATGGATGTGAGCTGTGTCCTCAGAGTCTATTGGCCAGAAGCCTAGTCCACACTATGGAGATATAGAGTGCTGATGGCACCTTTAGACGTGGGACCTGGTAGGAGGTGTCTGGTTCTTGGGGCATTGTCTTCAGTAGGAAAAGCATAGCCATTGGGTACTTCACTGAGACAGATCCTCTGGAATTCACCCTGCTGCTGCGATTCCTTCCATCTCTGCTTCCATGGTGATGGATCTACCTTGAGGCCCTCAGTAGAGAACAACAGGAAAGCATCACCTGGCATTGGTGTCTGAGCCTTCAAAACTCTGAATCATTTCTTTGTGGAGAAATACAGAAAGACAGAGAAGAACTAGGTGTGGAATGGGCAGGAATGTGTGACAGTTAGCCAATGAGCCCCATCTTAAATCTTCATTTAGAACCAGGAGTGCTTTTAACAAATACATGGAGATATATTTTTAGGAATATCCTAATCAGTCATGTCAGACTCTTCTGTTCTGTGGCTGATTCGTTTAAGATAAGTTGATACTTTAGTTTGTTTCTACAGTTTAGGAATATATAAAATGAAGTATAAAGGAAAGCCTAGCTTCGTGTCATGGGATTTCCTAACCTAGTATAGCAAATGGCAGATAAAGATAAATATGTGGGACCATTCTTCTCCGTTATCACTCTTGACTTCTGTTCATAGCACAAAACTCAGACCTGTGTCTGTGACTTCAAGAAGAGAAGCAAAGCTAAGATTTAACCGACTAGTATTTTACTTCACGATTTTACTTTTCAGAGATGAATCTGAGTTTATGGATGTAGGCCATACTGAGCCCCACTGTTCAAAAGCTCAACAGAAAAAAATTCAAGTAAAATAAATTTAATTTTAAGAAGCCCAAATCTGGAAACTGTCTTGTCTCAGACAACTCATGTCCTTAACTGACAGTTCAGGCTCTTGTGTGTCTCAGTGGTAAATGGTACAGTGTATCCCTAGAGGCCATCTCTCCATCCTGGCTCTCAGAAGCCATATTCACAGAGTAATTTCCAGGGAAGAGCCACAGGCCTCTGACATCCTTAAGAGGACAGAGTCATCTCCTGTGGACACAGCAGCAACTTTAAGCACAGGGAATATTTATAGTGAAGGTGCCATGCCCTTAGTCCTTTCCATTTAGAATTCATTTTGTGTAGGAAATGTGAGTTTTCTCAGGCAGATCCATCTTTTTGTTTCCAAAATACCTATTTATCACTGATGAAATAAGATAGAAATGGGGGCAGGAAGAACTTGTGTATTTTATTGAAGGAGTGAGTTAATAGAAAAAAATGATGGTAGCTGGATCAAAGGATGGGAGAGTAGTCCTTAGAACCATGAGCCAACAAGGTGCAGGGCAGGACAAGGTCTAACTCCATTCACTGCCTCCACCATGCTTTCTTCTCCCACCCCAAACAGTCACACACATTCTGCTTATTTCTTTCTATTTTATAATTCCATATTTTGTTCCACTTCTGCTATGTCCAAACTTTATATAAAACCATTTTTTAAAATCTTGTTCAAGATAAAACAAAAACTGCTTTAACATATTGTCTAAAATAAATATTAGCAATTATTAGGAAGACTTGGGGCATAAATCTGAATGGAATTATTATTTTTTTTCTTTCTCCATTCACGATTAAGAATGCCTCCAAAAAAAAAAAATGACTTCATGCAGACCAGGTCAGACCTAGGAATACATTTGGGTTTGTAATGATGACTGTTTTGCTGAGCACTGTGTAATCAAATGTGCCTCTTAACCTTTGGCCATCATAATGATCACCTTCAACTGAAAACACATATTAGCTGGCTGCAAAGAGACCAGATCTCCTCTGTCTGTGGGCAAGGGCTTGCTGGCTGAAGTCAGTGTAGTGGCTGACATAAACATGCCTCCAAAATCCTGTCTGTCTGTGACCTTGGAAGGTGACCCTGCTTGGACATAACGTATTTGGAGACCTGATTGGTTAACTTAGCATGATCCAAAGTCCAAATGGGCCCTTTTAAGGAGAGAGCAC